TCTTGATGGAACGGAAGTGAAAATTGAAATTGGGGATCTGACCTAAAAACAAATGAACGGCACAGATTAAATCTAAAACAATGAACGGTTGAAATAATTCTCTTATAATTAAAAAATAATATATATATATATATATAATATTTATTTCGGTTCGGTATGGGAATACCGAAAAAATGGAGATGCAATACCGAAAATTTCGGGAATTTTGGTTTGGGATTTTTTTGATTTGGAATCGGGATTTTTTCGGTTTGGTTTGGGATTTTTGGGATTTTTTTCCAGCCCTACGGAGTAGTAGGAAGAATGCTCGAGCTTCTCGTTTCAGTTTCCTTCTTTCTTTGATTTGCTTTCTTCTTCTTTTTTTTTAATTAGCTATAGCTAGCTTTTCTCATTTAATTCTAAATTTTAATGGTGTGACAATTAAAGAGATGGACATAATAAGATTGTAGCCTGAGACCCAGGCAAGGTGGGGGGCATATTCATATGAAGGTCATAAAAATATATACATATATATTATATATAACGTGGATATAGGCAACTAGGTATGCATGACTGTGTTCCTTTGCTTTAAATGGGATTAGGGTTTGCTTCCATATTTTCCAATACAAACAGTTTTGTATGTGGACCATCAATGTTTTCAAGAATTGAAAGTATGTCTAGATAGTGCTAATGGAAAAATGGAGTTACAAGCATGCTTTTATATATTAACAAATAGTTCTAATATATTTAATAATTGGATTAGAGGAAACTTGTTGGTTTCTTTTACTTGTTTTTGGTGGGCTTTGTGTCTGCGTTTTGTGAGTGAGGTAGTATTTGAAAGATTGGGGTTTAGAGAGAAGGGAGGGGGATGGTTTGGTCCCATTTGCAAATGCATCTAAGAAGGGGTAGAAGTGGTGTGTCATGTCCGCCTACAATTGACCCCCATGAACAATTGGAAAGGGAATTGCATAATTGTGTCTTGTTTTTGTATCCTTTTTTGGTTTTTTGTTGCCCGCTTCCCCCCTCCTCACTCACCCTCCCTCGTCTTCTCTCCTCTTTGATGAAAAGGGGCGTGGATGATGAACAAAAGCACTGTTTTGAGTATCCCCCTACACCGCCCCTCTTAATTGAATCATATTTCAGTTCCTCATGGTAGGTCTAGTTAAGTTAGAAGCACCTGGACCAGTATTGCTATCAACTGCACCACACTGCCAGAATGCCCCATACCTAACAGCTCTCTCTCTCTCTCTCTCTCTCTCTCTCTCTCTACGTATATATATATTTGTGAACTTCCTTCAACACCATTATTTATTTGTTCCACATCCTTCCAATATTGATCCTAGGTTAAGCAAAATTTATCCTTTACTATATAGTTTTCTTTTATTTTTTGTTTAGTACTTAAAGGTCAGACATTGATCTTTAAAGAAACGGTTAGGCTTATAATTTTCAACACATCCAAAGTCTAAAAGGCCTTACCTCTAATCAATTAAAGGCTTATAATTGTCAACTCGTACGTTTTCCATTCATTTTAGATAAAACTCCATTACGTGCTCTTGGCATATATATTTTCAAGAGCCCCTTTTTCAAAGGGGAACAACATGTATTAAAAGTTTTGAACTCAAGCCCATAAACAATAGCAGTTCAAAGCCTCAAAGAGAAAGGGACGACCAAATGCAACAACCATAAACAAACCCTAGATCAAGAAAACTAAAAACCTCGTCACCATAACCCACCTTCATTGTCAACCACTACGAGGAAATCAACCAGGATCATATTATTAAGTGTTCCACATCATTAGTTCGATGATTAGTTAAGTGACTATACAAGTCAGCAATACAGTTAGTAAGTTTGTTAATATTTAATTAGAGTTGTTCAGATTTCTATTATAAAAACAAAATTGTGTAATTATTCTGAGCATTGAACACAAGTCTTATATTTCTCGCTCTAAACTCTCTCTAGTTCATCTCTCTTTGTTACTTCGATTCTCAAATATTTCAATGTAGTTAACATATATAATGGCAATGACAATAACTTGGAGATAAATAAGGACTAGAGCAAGAGGCACCAACCAAATCAAACTAAAACATGAAAAACCAAAATCAACCACGACAACACGAAAAACTCGCTCAAATAGGAAACACATAAAAATCCCAAATTTATGGTAAAGGAAAGATGAGAAATAAAGAGATGGTGAAAAGATGAATGTAGGAACGATAAGATTAGGAGATTTAGGTAGTATGTATGAAACAAGACAACAAAAACCTGCGAACTCGAAAACAGGAGCCATGAAACCCAAAACCCTGGACCAAGGGCTCAGGGACAACTACACCACCGACTTTCAAAACCGTAGAGCTGTGACACCCCCTCATTTTATATTGTCAACTTTACATCTATATACATTTATCTACAAGCAATTCGAAGCTCAAGTGGTTAACTTAAGATCATTAATCCCTTCCCAAAGTTTCAGTGTCAATTACCCTATCTCCTAACATCGCTTGAATTCGTTAAATTGCATAGATTGTCATTTCACCCTGTACAATTGCTGCTGAGCATCTAGTGCGCAACACGGAACCTAGCAACAATGATGGTACTTGGCGTGACTTGGGATAGCTACTTAGTCCTCAATGGCTCATTGGCTCACTGTCAATATTTACATTAATTGTGATCTTTGATAGCCAATTTGATTGACCAAATACACAACGTTAATTGTTGGGTGTCAAGTCGACAAGATAAAAATTATAGCACTTCCACAAATCATATCCTAAAGTTCAAAATTAAAAAAAAAAAAAAAAGTTTGAACTTTGCAAAGCTCCAAATACATTTTATTGAACATTACGTATGATGTGAAATATCCATTGCGACATGACCTCTTTAAAGCCAAATCTTTAGGATAAATAATTCCACTATCCCTAGAAGTAAGTAGAACCCTTTCAAATGCTAAACAACAAATTATAAACATGATACATCGAAATATCAGTTTAATCTAAGAGAATGGAACATGAATAAAGCAATGTGATTATTACGAGTAAATAAATGGTTAAACAAGATTAAAATTGATGTGAGGTGACAGAAAATGCATAAATGATCCCGAATGTGGATAAAATAAACATTATGTGAAGAAAAATCCACATAAAATGAAAAATAGGAGTAGCATGTACTATGTCTCTATCAATCTTCGAGTAGCAAAATTTTACCATAGAGGCTACTATGTGAATGTTTAGTGTTTACTAGGTATTATGACTTCTATTACAAACCATACTTTTGATCATACATTATGACTTCTATTAGTGTTGACTAGTTTCAATAATTTATCATCAAAACTATTGAAATTTTTTAGATCGACGGGCCTGGAGAGCCCTACTCTAACGACACCTATACTGTTTCTAATTTTATCACCCGCCCAATCCGTCAGTTGTGGGGTAAACCTATTTAAAATCATTACTTTTCTTTACCCCCACGATTCCAACAAAAACATGACCCCTTGAGAACTTGATCGTGACCGTATCTGAGAAGACTTGTAAAAGTGAGAGATGACTAAAGAGTTTTCTTTAACAGAATGAACGAAAATGAAATAAAGTCATCTGATATTCCATATACTATTCTCATGAAAAGGGACGGAGATAAAAGTTTATATTACAATAATCTTATAAACTAAAAGGCTTCAGGACTCTTCGGTTTGTACTTCACAGATGTGCCTATGAGAATGATATCCTTTGGATGTTGAAAACTTTGTTATCAAAATTTTGATACTTAACCAGTGTATAACATCAGATACTTGTCCAAGTATATTCTTATCCGATTACCAAATTATGAAAGCAGAGTAACTTAAATATTTATTAACTTTCAGGAATCAAAATCAAAATAAATATGATCATTAATGCCCTTGTACAAGAAAATTATAAAGAATTTTTATTGGCATCCCAAAAATCTAATTGTGCACTCCAAACAGTTTCTATTATAATTTTTCAACTACTCATAATAAATATCTCAAATGCCAAAAATTATTTTCCCGTTATAATGCTATCGAAGTTGTTTTTCTTTTCAAAATGTATTTTTGTACCTTCCATCATTTACTTTCTTTGTTTTGGTCAAAGAATTTCATCATTTACTTACAACACATTTAAACGTAAATAATTATTATTCAAAATATTATTACATCTCTCTTAAAAACTAATTTTTACTTTCTCAGGAAAATATAGACAGTTTTTCTTTTCAGAAGAGGTAGCAAATAATGCATTTTTCACACTCGTATAAACTTTATTCTTTGTACACATACTAAGTGATTCTAGAATTCTGAGAAAATAGTTGGGCAATTTTGGTACTACAGTAGGAACAATTGGTGGAAGAACTTGTCATACTCTAGTAACTATAGTATAGTAGTGGAGTTCCAACTCTCATTCACTCCCTTACCGTTCCAAGCATGTGAACATACAACTAATGTATTCTAGAGATGTCGAAATATACGTTGTCAAACAATTACAGTTTTGTTTTGCTGTCAAATGAGAACTATCAACCTCCAAAGGAACGTCTTATGAGTACAAAGCAGTAAGAGATCCTAACTTAGGAGATTTTTCTACAACTGTGTCACATATATGACAGCAAAACAGATTACATGGCGTTGTGGAACTTCCTTCTTAACATGAATTGTGTCACATATTTTAGCCAACGTAGTCATCATCTTTAGTATCGCATGTCTTCCATCATTAAGAAGATGATTACAAATGGCCTTGTGTTATATCTACATCTTACTTACCATGCATGCTAAATAGATTAAATCATTATAGTCCACGTCGCATAAACATTAACTAGAAGACTAGATGACAACATAATACGAAATCTAGAAAGCTCAAATACAAGAGAAAAATCCAAAAAGACCGTAGAACAAGCTTACAGGGATGAATGTAAGTTCTTACGGGATGATGAAGAATTACATTATATCCAAGTTCAGCTCAGTAACCATATTTTGATAAATAATTGAACACCGCATTTCCAACACACATTGAAGCAAGACTGGATGAAGTCTCTTACCTGATTAGATAGCGGAACTTGTCGCGAAACATCCCAAAAAACAATAGAATTTTCACTGAGTGGAATTGTCGGAATCTAATAACACTGACAACTTGATCCTCCTTAAAAACCTGAATCTCTAGCCCCTTTTCAATATCTACTAGCCTTGATGAGGAGTCATATACACAAGAAAGAACAGACAACCCTTGCAGTGACCATTTCACATCTTTGACCACAGCATTATGAAAATTAAACACACGGGCTACCTTCTGATCACTGCTCCACACATTCCATATGCAGATTGTATGATCCATTGAAGCAGAGGCAAGAAGATGAGCTGTTGACTAACTCCAACGAACGGATCAATAAGAAAAGTGAATAAATATAATTGGCATATAAAAAGTATACTATTGCTCGATTCTTCAACTTAAAAAATTGGCAAGCATCCTTTGTTAAAAATCAAATTTTACATTAAAACAACATTCAAGAAACAATCTTTAGTGTCACGAGGCTACGAATCCAAAGGGGTAAGTGCTAATTCAAGGGTTCATGAACAAGTAGGGCTCACCATGGGATGGTGACCAATGTACAGCATTGACAGCTTTGGTAGGCTTATTTAGAGCTACAGACATTCTTTGGGGCAATTGGCCGAGCTGCGATCGACCCCTTTTCGCTTTGTTTCTCAACCACAACATCACATCTCGAGGAACGTCTGAATCCGAAATACTCCCAAAAGCTGCCTACTACAACATGCATATATGAGTGGCATTGTCTACTTCAGTGAACTTGTCACGAGCATTTCCTTTTCTTACAAATCGACGAGAACAACTTAGATAAAAGGTTTAGCAGGACCATGACATTATGGTCCAATAATGCCGGGATGTCACTGTGGCAATGAACACGTTTTAGCAAGTTCTTCTCCAAATAAACAGTCTATGTTTCTATAAAATTAAATACACAATAATAATAATAATTCACAGATATTTTCAAATGAAAGTAACAAAGTAGCACGCAAGGTCGTGACAGGAGCATTCGGGTTCGGCTGCGGGTCGGGGACAGTAGGTTGGGAAGCCAATAACGCCCTCTTCCTCTTGGATATGTATCGACCAGGAACCAGAGCTTCTGCTTCGAGGGTCGGAAACTGGGTTGACTCCGGCAGAGGATGGTGAAATTTGGTATGTGCAAATGGGTTATCGGATTTGAGTCGATTCGGATTCGGGGGTGTGATGGTTTGCTTAATTCCTTCTGCTTTTTCTTCTTCTTCTTCTTCTTCGTTCTCCGAGGGATTAGAGTATACGTTGCAGAGCAGGTCCATTTCTGAAAAATCTGAAAGACTGAAACTTTGTGTTAATTCTTCTTACGACATGAGAGCAGAGGACTTACTGGACTTGGACTTAAGCTTAACATGAACCAAATGGGCCATAAGCCACATAAGGATAACTCTTTGGAGGCTTTGGAGAGTGAGCGGTTAGCCCAAGTACTGAAGGAGGATAAGGTAATATGCTTAGGATTGTGTTTAAAGTATTGGTATCAATAGAAATATTGATATGCAAATTTTTTAAAACATTGATGAATATATCGATATCTATTGTTTTCGATGGAAATGATGGAAATTTAAAATGATACATTAGGGAATGTCAAACACTGATTTAGACCAAGTATAAGAGTTTTTCAAATATTTAACCGATTTGTAGGAAATATTGATGAAATCTGTTGATTTAAGCTGGTTTTTTTTTTCAAATGATAGATTGCCACCGACGGGGTTTAAACCCATGTTGTCATGCAATGGCTCAACACCTTTCCACCACTGTGATAAAAGCCCACTTTCTATGAATTTACACTTAATAGTTTTATTGGTTTGTTTCTTGCATATATGACTTAATATAAATGCCATAGCCAAGTACTACAATTGATTAATTAAAAAATAGCAACTTACTCTTTCTTTAGTGGTATTTTTCTTCTTAGTGTTAAAAAATTGTTTCACCACTCCACTAAATATATTTGGATTTAGTTTCAACCCAAATCTATTTCGTTTTTGTGGAAAGCCCAAAATGACTTTCTTGTTTAACCCAATTTTAAAAACCAAACCCAATGTGTTAAACTCTACTAAAATGGAGATTCAGATCCTCTGTTTGGATTTATTTTGTTTAAGGATGAGTTTGACATTTAATTTATGGGATTTTTTCTTTAAAAACGATATTATTAACATAAAGGGAGTGCGGAAGTGGGCAAAGCCTTACAAATGGCTAGCAATAATGTGGTTCAAATTCATCTTTGGCAAGAATCAAACCTTCTCCTCTCACTTACAAGCGAAAGCAGGTTCAATAGTTGTTCATGTCATTAGTTAACACTATTGACTTCATCACTTAATGCTAGTGACCTAACGAATGTTCAACGTCAAATATTAGGTAGTTATTTGTAATTTTTTAAAGGATAAACCAATTTGAAATTATCTAAAGGTAGATTAGTTATCCGTATTTGACTCTTAGAAAAAAGGTGGTTTCAGCAACTTCTTTCGTCATAGAATCAGAGCAGGTCTACTAACGTGTGAATGATCACACGTGCTCTACTTCACTCTATTCTCTACCTGTTAGATTAAAAAATCAGAGCATATAAAGGGTAAATCAAGGATTAAATCCGGTGGGGATTCAACCCAATTACAATCATGATTAGTTGATAGACCAAAATGAGCTAGTCTATGGGCAACTCTGTTGGCTTGACGGTAGGCCTTAGTGATTGATGAGAGCACATTGGAATATTTGAAAACCTTGTAAGGACTCAGCGTTGCCAATTAATTGATTTTGGAACCTTCTTCATCAGCCACTATCGATCGATAAGGGTTGGGTCCAAGGACACATATTTGAAGATCAGAAATACAAATGCTACATAATTGTAATACGCAATGTTCTCTTGAGGCTTAGCAAACAAAGGTTGAAGTCGAGATAATGGTCATGTGATTTTGTTGGAAATTTGTAAACGACAAGAAGTTGAGGTCAGTGTATTGAAAATACGATTCGGTACACCAAATATAATACTATCATGGTTAGAAACTGAAAAAAAAAAATTCAACCAATTGTATAAATACATTTGATGTGCCAAACAATATTCTCAGTACACTGAAAATTTTCTCGTCTTTCATAAGTGTCAATCATGACAACTGAAGAAAGGGTTTGTAAATAAGAAGGTCCACATACAGAAGACCTTTACTTCATATATTCATCATGAAATTAACCTTTAAAAATATATCCGAAAGCTCCTACACAGTTACACTCACCGCTTTCGAAATCCCCATTACGGTCCTATAAAGGAAATAAAATATCCTATATAATTTCAGTGACGCCAATCTGAAGTCATGCTGTGTGCACTTGCTGTTTGGATTAGGAACTCATCACCTAATTCGGTTAAAAAATGGTGTGGCAATTGAGAATTATGACTCCTTAATTAAGCATATATGTAGGCGGTGTTCTTCCCAATATTCATTACTTTATATTAACACAGACTTCATCAGTCAGTTGTTTCTTTTTTTTTTTTTTTTTTTTTTTTTTTTTTTTTTTTTTTTGAAAAAACTTGATTTAAATTCAATTTTGTGTTGTGGAATGTAACAATCCACCCCCCTTAGGGGCCCAATGTCCTCGTCGGCACATTACGGCCAGGGTTTGGCTCTGATACTAAATTGTCACATCTTGGCGTGGGCCTCCATCACATCCTAAGCTCGACTCCACTGTAGCACGATATTGTCCGCTTTGGGCCCTGATCACGCTCTCACGGTTTTGTTTCTGAGAACTTACACGAGAACTTCCTAGTAGGTCACACATCTTGGGATTGCTCTTGCACGCTACTCACTTAACTTCGGAGTTCCCATGGAACCCGAAGCCAGTGAGCTCCCAAAATGCCTCGTGTTAGGTAGAGATGAGAATATACATATAAGGCTTTCATGATCCACACCCCTAGACGATGTGGGATGTAACATAAAGAATGAGTAGGAGTTCCTAATCAAAATTGTTAGTTGCTGATTCATAAAATTTCGTGTTTATGATCCGAACTATTCATATCATAAACTACTCTATAAAGATCCCCTTTGGAAAAAATCAATTAAACTAAGGGTTGGTTTGGGATTGCTGTGCTTAAAAAAAAAACAGCTTATTAACAAATCTGAAACATCAAATGTGTTTGGTAAAACAAAAAAAATAAAAAAAAATAAAAAATAAAAAAAAAGTTGTTGTCAATGAATGTTTTTAAAGCATAGTAATCAGTGCGCATTTAATGAAATTTTCAAATGATAAGTATACCCCTACATATTTTATAAAATTACAATCATTGTCCTTACATTATTCTCTTTAACAACTATTATATTACATTAAATATCATATCCTTTTTAGTTATTTAACATATCCACAACAATTTATATAAAAGTTAACTAAACACAGACACTATTATTTTTGTTAAAAGCACAACAACAAAAAAAAGTTTACCAAATATTCAATAACTTTAGTTTACAGCTGTTTATTCTCACAACACAGCAGAATCAATTTTTTTTTTTAAAAAAACACAACAATACCAAACTAGCTCTGAAGTCGTTTAGTCATTGAACTGTATAAAACAAATGCACATAATTGGTAAAAGCATTACAAACCGTCTATGTATTTGCTATGTATAATATTTGACTAAACGACCTTAGTTTTAATTTTTTTTTTTTTTTTTGCAGAGATGATCTTTACACAGTGATTGAATGGTTTTGATCATAAGCACAAAGTTCCGTGATTCAAACATGAAGAGTTTTGAGTAGAAATTCCTACTCATCCTTGAGTAGCCAAGCATTGTTCTTTTAAGATTAAGACTTGTGATAAGTTTTGACTGTAGGTTTAAAGAATATAATTCCAATAATGTTAGGATAATTGTTGTAATCAAATTACTTCCTATCTAACTCTGGGAATTTTAACGAAACAGTCATGATATTGTTCACTTTTAACATTAAAGACATTTTTTGCCTAAAAAGTCACTCCTAGTATTATTCACTTACACCTTTATTTTGTCGTTTTCATTAAAAACTAAAGTTTATGAGGAATTTTAGTTAGTTTTCCTTTACTTTGTTTTCCTATATTACATGGGAATTTGTCTTGCTTATAGGTACGTAAATTATGTATTTCTACCTTTCAGTTGGTTTATGACACACCCCGACCGAGATCAGGGCATGCTGGCCACCACGTGGAAGTGACGTAGCCATGTGCACAGTGCGGAAGCTAAACAGTAATATAAAAGTGCGAATAATTTAAAAACTAGCAAATATAGAGTGATAGAATATGAGCTAGCTTAAATACGACACTGAATTCAGAGCCTAAGGCCTATAGCAGTCCGGAGGAAACAATACAACAAAAGTACACCCGAAGGTGACCCTACATAGGTGAAGGTCTGTCAGAATGCCGGGACGTCCCTGGGGAAACCACCGAACCAGCTAAGCTACTAGAACCTGGAGGGGCGCAAAAACAAAAGCGTGAGTGGGCAAAACAAATCTCTTAGAAAACCATTTCATAAAACATAATATAACCTCTCGCCGTAAAACCTGTATACTTCCCAGAATACAAACATATATACGTAGGTATAAATATGCCAAGTATAATCAAGGGTATGCCAACATGCTCAAGACCTCATAATAACATGCAAGTGCTCAAACATGTAAATCACATTATTAGCATAATTAAACTGGCAGCCGGAGTCCCCTAAGTGACCTGTACGGCTGAATCTAGAGCTCAAATCACAACTAAATCCTTAAACCTGCCCACGAGTCGGAACCACCTATAGTGGTCTGTACGACAAGCCTGGGTGTAATACATATAAACGCTCTAGTGCTACGATCACGTGAAGGCTGTGCGAATAATCGCGGGTCACCTACGAGTCGGAACCACCTATAGTGGTCTGTACGACAGGACTGTGCACCTAACTTGGATTCAAGCTGAGCGTGTGGTGCTGGAGGTGAACAACACGTGAAGGACTGTGCCCTACACTGGGCGGGAGCACTAACACCGGGGGTGCAGGTTATGAGCCCTCTAAGCACTTCGAGTCACTATTTAATGCGAATGTAAAGCAACGCTTACCTGGCACTTACCTAGGCCGCCACAGCACCAACATATATGTAAAAGATGTAAGAATAAATATATAAACCAACTCATATGCCACTAAATATGTAATAATCATCAATCATATAAAATTACTGGCGTAAAACGAAGCATTTATACTAATTTCTGGGAAATAACATGTATATAGGTATATACGGAAAACAAAAGCCCACTCACTGGTAAGTAGAAGGGTCGTAGCCCC